CGGACTGGCTGGAGCCGAGGTCAATAACATAAATTACCGGGATCTGTGAGGGCATCTCCCCTAGTGGGTCAGCCGCCGCCGCCGACGGCCGAGTCACACGAACAGCCGTAATCGGCGTAACCCGGAGGGGTTGCGCCGCCTCCGCCGCCGGCGGAGAGTAAACCACGATCTCGCCGGTCTCCTCCGCCGTTTGCCTCTCCCCCTCGCCGGAGGACACCGCGGAGTTCGAAAGATTCGACATATTGAAAAAGAAAAAGAAAAAACGATGAAGGGAACAGTCGGATTACCGGTGGGAAGCTTTGAAACGCCGATCTGCGAAGAACTCTGAGGATGTTCGAAAACTGTTGCTGGTTGCTCGAAGGTGTTGAGAAATTGCAGAAGGTAAAGCTTCTGGAGGAAGACGATGGTGGATATATATATAAACTTCGGTCCAATCAGGGAAGGCCACGTGGCACCGTTTGAAATTCAAAAATTAAATAAACAACAATCCAGATTGAACGGTCGCGATTAAAACCATCCGACGGTTCACGAACGGGCGCGTGGAGGCCACGCGGCAGAGTAACCGCCCTTTCCACTGAAGTAATGCGACGTGCCACGCGGGCCAATCAGACGGGGACATGCGTAAAGGGCCCTGAAACGGCACGACTTTTCATGGCCGACAAGAAGGGGAACGACCACATCGCATTGATGGACGCGTCGCTTCAGCTCGCGTCATCAATGTACCAGAAACAGGGAAAGCGTGATTCAAGGGAATCGGAAACGTCGGTGTGAAAATCGGCAAACTCGGGACTGAACATTAAAGTGACGGCCTTGGATTAGATGAAAAAACCTCTTCCCCGAGCCCGGGGGCCTGTATGTTGATAGCCGAGTTGGCCCAGATTGGACCGGATACTCAGCCCCTCCGGATCGAGACGAGAACCCGGTCTAGTGAGAAAGTGCCGAGCTGGACTGAGGATTAGAGGTGTGGGAAACCGCCGTGGGAACGTTTTCCCAGTCCGGCGCCTGTATCAGCCCGGTCAGCGGCCGACTTGGAGGGGTGCCGGACAGAAAGAAGATTATTCGCAGTCTCGTGAACATCTACGAATGAGGTGCCGACCTGAAAATCCGAGGAGGCCGACCAGAGGGAAAGCGCGGGCCTCAATGAGCATTAAAATATTCCCACTTGGGAGGCCATCATTGGACGATGGGACAAGTAATCATGGCCTAGCACCCTACCAGTAAGCCTAAATCAATAAAGCCAACCAGCATTAAATGCCCCCATGCTGGCATTTTATGCCTGACAGGTAATGATTGAAGAAACCTCAAATCGCATTAAATACTTGTCAGACGGACGCCGGACTGCTTTTCAAAATCACTGTGCGACAAGACCGGTGAACAGTAGCTGAATAGTGCCACATTAAAGACTACTATAAATAGCAGCTCATTTCATTTATTTTGGGTTGTTGAAATCCAACTAACTCTGTCTTCTCTCTACTTTCTCTCTCTAAAGACTGTAAGAAACTCGTTGTAAGGATTGTAAGTATATCGCAAGTGCC